CCCCTGTCTGGTGCCTGGGATTGTCCTCGTCGGGGGAGGCCGGGTCCCCTCCCCATCCTGCGGAGGTGTCCTAGGGGCTGGGGCTTTCCCGTCCTGTCCCCGCTGCCATCACGGGGACCGCGTCGTCCCCTTCCCCGCCAGCACGGCCGCAGCGGCGTCCCCGTCCCGTGTAACCGTTGGCCTCTTCCCCGCAGGCTCCAGCCGGGCAGGCGAAGACCCGCAGCAGCGTTGTCCCCGCGCGGAGCCGGCGCCCGTCCCCGAGGGGAGCGGGCCAGGGGATGTCTCCTCTGTAAGAGCGGTGCGGGCAGTCCCCGTCCTGCCTAGCCCTGCCGGCCCTCCCGGGGCTGAGGAGGAACCGCCTCGACGCACCCGCGGCACCGGGCTCCCCGATCCCAGAAAGATGTCGGCAAAGTGGAGGGTACTGGACAAGACCAGCAAAAAAATGATTAACTGAAACAGTCTTTCTAACCGTAAAATTCTTTCCTGGGAGAGAATTCCCCACCCTGGCCCCCACCTCGCTCGGCTGCTCCGGGGCTCGCTCACCTTCTCTGTCACATCCATGCCCTTCCTGACGACTTCTTCCAGGAGGATCTGGAAGGCTTCTTGCAGGAACTCCTCGCCGGCTGCCTTATCCAGGGCGGGATGCTCCAAGCTGCTGCTCTCCGCCATCACGGGTTGTGTCTCCTGCTCATCCCCTGGGCAGCGGAGACGCACAGGACAGATGTCACTCTGTGCCACACTCCCCACTGGGAGACGCACCAAGGCCCGGCTGCGCCACACGTGCACGGCTTGGGAAGGCATCCCCCAGGGAAGGGGATCCCGAGCCAGAAGCAATGCCAGCCCCAAAACCCCTCGTTCCCCAAGTTTGGGGACCAGATGCAGAGACCTACGAACCCAGGGTTGATCTGCCGGCAGGGAAGTTCCCGTTCCCCTTGCCACCGCCGCTCTGCGCTCTGCTGCAGGCCGTGGAAAGATGCTCCCTTACTTATCTCGCTTTGCACAAACAGGGGATTGTCACAAAGGGCGAAGCCTTTCCAGGGTCCTGCTGCAGCCTCGGGGCAGAGAACTCCTCACTTGAACGAGGCGCCGCATTAAAGAGAAAAGCTGAACTGTAAATGAGTTAGCTGAAATCTTGGACCTTCGCACTTCCTATCTGCATCGGGCAGGTCATCTTTATCTCCTCTCTGTGCTTCAAATCCCTCAGCCAGGTCTCAGTTTTGCCTCCGGGGCTCAGTTTGTCCAGAACCACCCCCCTGCCAGCCTGCATTCTTTTTACCCTTCCGCCCCATTGCCCGGGCACAAAGGCCAGCCGCTGCTTTTACAGCGGCTCCCTGCGCTGTGCAAACACAGAGGAGTCCAAGTGCACCCCCTTAATCACTCCCTGCCCCCAAATCCCAGCTTATCCAGACAGAGAAGGTGACAGGCTGACAGCGAACAAGACGCTGCCCATCGCCCCAGCTCCATCCCAGCTGTGAACCCCCTTCCCCCCAAAAACCCCCCACTGCTATGCTGGATGTTTCCCAGGAACGGCAAAGCCACTGGGCCAACACCAGGGCAGCCGGAGCCAGGCCGGGAGGTCTCCATCCCTCTGCACGGGCCAGTTTCAGCTCCGAGCTCTCCCTGAGGTCCCCTGCAGGGCCTCCCCTCCCCGGGGCCCCTCGCGGCCCCCGGCAAGACCTCAGCGTCCCTGTTACCTGCTCCCGTTTCGGCGCCGTGTCGCAAAGGGGCAAAGTACAAGGGAGCTGTCGGAGAGCGGCTCTCCGCGAAGAGGCTCTTAAAGGTGCACCCGGCGGCTGCGAAGGGGGCTC